GGCAGGATATGCCATATTTGGTATCAGGACGTTCGGAATATGATTCTGCATATTAATCTGCCAGTTGCTAGGATGCTACCTGTACCTATTGAAGGTTATTGACCAGGGTATAAACTTGGAAGTGATTTGGTCATACTGGGTCCCCGCCTAACACCCATCCCCAAATGAGGCGATTGGCTCTTTGCTTCCAAGAGACACCCCTTTCAGATACTAGAAAAAAGGCTGACATGCCTGGAGAGAGGTAAGAAGAGATTTTTCCCTTTTAACACCAGGATCCATCTGGGAGAAAGGCAACCTTTTTGTTCGGACATTTGGACTCTGCTCAAACCAAGGACTTTTGCAAGTATCCTACCTTCTGAAACTGCTTTCTTTTATTTCTCTGTTGTTTTATTACTCTTTTTATCTATATATATATATATATATATATATATATATATATATATATTTTTGTTACATCTTTTCTGTAAATATTTTAATTGCACCATTTTGACCTTTTTAGTAATAAATCCTATTTTCTGAAAAGTGTTGAAACTGTCTCTAAAGCTTCTAATGCAAACTAAAAGAATCCCTGTCTCTGAAGAGTGCTACTGTATGTGATAATCTCTGAATACATCTGTTTGCGGTGGCAGTGTGTATACAGACGCTTATTCTAATAGCATAGTGTTACTGCTAAGATTTGTGAGTTTCCTCCTTCTCTGTAAAAAGGTGGTGGTGGCAGTGTGAAGGGCTAATTGCGTAATTAACCTGACCCAGTAACAAGCGCTCTCAGGCTGCTGACACATAGATTGTGGTCCAGCGAGCTGGAAAATCTTTGTGCAGGGCGCAGCTGAGAGTGGCATTGTTACGCAAGTGGCAGCGCGGTCTTAGATTGGCTGGTCCTTCAGTCACAAGTTGGTGAGAAGGGCTGGGGTCTGATGCCGCGCACCGTCACAGCATTGCATGACCACACAATTACCAGTTGAAATAGTGCAGCACCAAATAGCAAAAAAAGGCCTGGTCAGGAAGGGGGGCAAATCCTGAGGAGGGCAAGTGTTTAAAGAAGCCTGTCCTGCTTCTAACTAGTAAACTGCCTTTTTTTTCCTCCATCAGCTCATCCCCCACAGCGAACACCTTTTGTATCACTCAACCCTTCCTCTTAGATTGTAAGCTCTAACGAGCAGGGTCCTCTGTTTCCTCTTGTACCAAATTGTATTGTAACTGTAATGTCTACCTTCATTTAGTAAAGCGCTGCACAAACTGTTGGCGCTATATAAATCCTGTATAATAATAATAATAGCCAATGGAAAGCTAATTACTAGGGAAAAATGTGCAGTATGTGTATTTTGTACCCTTCTTTGTACGTTTTTCAGGCACTCCCATTTAAATCTATTTGGGCCACAAATACCTCAGAAGATGCTCATGTACTTTTTTGAGCTTCAGGCCACACTAATCTCATGTGTGAACAGGCAGAATGGAAAGCCATGGGACTTTGGATGTTGAGTGTTTTGGAGCTTCAAACTATAAAATGCTCAGATATGAATGGGGCCTAAGATCACAAGGTACTTAAACCCTTCCCACCGACACCTCCCGGCCCTTTAAGAGGTCCTAAGAGCCAGAAGGCAAGCATTCCAATCATGTGACCGCTGTGATTAGCAGCTCAAAAAACTCCTGATTGCAAGTATATATCGGATCTTTCGGGTCCCTGCCAGTAACTGTGCTGGGAGTGCGCAGGGCATATGCTCTCAGTACAGAAAACTGTTTGCCTAGGGCCACATATATGCAGCGTTAAAAGCAGTAAAGCCCACCTGCTGAGAGACCACATACACTATATTGCCAAAAGTATTGGGACGCCTGCCTTTACACGCACATGAACTTTAATGGCATCCCAGTCTTCGTCAATAGGGTTCAGTATTGAGTTGACCCGCCCTTTGCAGCTATAACAGCTTCAACTCTTCTGGGAAGGCTCTTCACAAGGTTTAGGAAAGTGTCTATGGGAATGTTTGACCTTTCTTCCAGAAGCTCATTTGTGAGGTCATGCACTGATGTCGGACGAGAAGGCCTGGCTCGCAGTCTCTACTCTAATTCATTCCAAATGTGTTCTGTTGGGTAAAGGTCAGGACTCTATGCAGGCCAGTCAAGTTCCTCAACCCCAAACTCGCTCATCCATGTCTTTATGGACCTTGCTTTGTGCACTGGTGCGCAGTCATGTTGGAGCAGGAAGGGACCATCCCCAAACTGTTCACACAAAGTTGAGAGCATGAAATTGTCCAAAATGTCTTGGTATGCTGACACCTTAAGAGTTCTTTTCACTGGAACTAAAGGGTCAAGCCCAACCCCTGAAGAACAACCGCACACCATAATCCCCCCCTCCACCAAACTTTGCACTTGGCAAAATGCGGTCAGGAAAGTACCATTCTCCTGGAAGCTTCCAACCCAGACACATCCATTGGATTGCCAGACAGAAGTGTGATTCGTCACTCCAGAGAACACGATTCTACTGTTCTAGAGTCCAGTGGCGGCATGCTTTACACCACTGCATCCAACGCTTTGCATTGTACTTGGTTATGTAAGGCTGGGATTCAGCTGCTCGGCCATGGTAACCCATTCCATGAAGCTGTCTACGCAGTGTTGTGCTAAACTGAAGGCCACATGAAGTTTGGAGGTCTTTAGCTATTGACTCCGCAGACAGTTGGTGACTTCTGCGCACTGTGCGCTTCAGCATGTGCTGACCCCGCTCTGTCATTTTACGTGGCCTACCACTTCATGGCTGAGTTGCTGTTGTTCCCAGTTGCTTCCACTTTGTTATAATACCACTAACAGTTGACCGTGGAATATTTAGTAGCAAGGATATTTAATGGATGGACTTATTGCACAGGCGGCAACCTATCATGGTACCACGCTTGAATTCACTGAGCTCCTGAGAGTGACCCATTCTTTCTCAAATGTTTGTAGAAGCAGTCTGCATGCCTAGGTGCTTGATTTTATACACCTGTGGCCATGGAGATGATTGAAACACCTGAATCCAATGATTTGGATAGTGTCCCAATACATTTGGCAATATAGTGTATGCACAGGTATGTGAGCTAGTGGATTGACATCTATACAAAGAATCTAAGCATGACATAGGAAATTGATAGCCAATGGCCAATTGGCTATTGTATGCACAGATCATTAATAATATTATCAATACGTCTTATGTTCTATATCAGGAAAGAGACATTTCAGTGCTGATTTTTTTGTTTTATTTAGGGAACAATTCCTTGCTCTGCTGATTGATACAGTGTGGCAGTGTTTGAATGTGGCACATATGGCACATGGCTACCCAACTTTGTAGCTCACTAGACACTTTACAGTCTGATTGTACAATCTCCTTTAAATCCAAATTTGATTGTACATATATTGCATGGTCAGATTGTAAGTGTAATGACCCTTCGAGGGATAATTTTTTATCGTTTTTTATTTAATTCAGTAAACCAGAATTAAAATACTTTTTTTTTTTTTACACATTAGATAACATTTGCTATATGCACAAAAATTGAATATGGTGTCTTAAGATATCATACAAAGGTACTGATTAAAATAAAATGTATGATTTATTTTACATTCCTTTGTTATTATATCTCTAGATAATATTTGCACCAAAAAGTTTAGTTCACAAAAATAAATAATGCACAGGTGTAGAATTGTTTGTCTGCATAAAATGAACATTTGAATCATTGAAAGTCTAAACTGATGAATCATTATTCATCTCTGCCTGTAATGTTTTCCTCAAAAAAAGCTAACACATTTAACCACTTCCCGACCGGCCGTTGTATATAAACGGCCAGACGGAGGCAGTGCAGGGTCGGGTGGCCGTTTATAAACGGCCTCCCCACACCCTGCTTGTGCGCGCTCCCTGGGAGAGCGCAGCACCGCAATCCAGTGCCCGCTGTGTCCTCTGGACACAGTGGAACACCGATCGTCGGACGGGACCTCTGTACGAGGTCCCAATCATGTGATCGCTGATTGGCCAATCAGTGATCACATGCAAAGTAGTAAGCAAGATGTCACTTGTGACATCATTGCTTACTACGTGTGAAATCTGTGAATGATCACAGAGGTCACATGGTACAAGGCTATTCACAACAGTCTTGTATCATGTGACAGGCTGTGACCAATCACAGCTCACTCAGCACTTCTCAATGACTGCAAGAATGCAGACAGAGAGAAAGAGAAATGATTGCTTTTACATCCTATATGGGTGTAAAAGCAATCAGTGTAAAAAAAAAAAAAAAAAAAAAAAAATCTTCATTACCCCCCCCACAAGTAGTGACACTTTACTGCTAGGGTGACAGTATGCAAAAAAAATAATAAAAAATAATAATCTAAAAAAATAAAATAAAAATGTAAAAGAAAATGTTTAAAAATTATAATTTTTGGTTAGAAACTAATTTGGATTTTTTTTTTTTTTTACTAAAAAGATAACGGAATAAATTTTGACCAAGATTTATGATGAAATATTATTTATTTGCAAAATTTTATTTAAAAAAAAACACTTTTTTTTCAAAATTTTTGGTCTTTCATTTACATAGCAAAAAAAAAAAAAATCCCAGCGGTGAATAAATAGCACCAAAATAAAGCTTTATCTGTCTCAAAAAAATGGTAAAAAATTCATTTGGGTACAGCAGTGTTGCATGACCACGGAATTGTCATTCAAAGTGTGATAGTGCTGAAAGCTGAAAATTGCCCTGGTCAGGAAGGGGGTAAAAGTGTCCGGTCTGGAAGTGGTTAAGAGTCTGTGTTTAAACCTCTGAAAGTGATGGATATGTGAGCAGAGTGTGTGTAAATGGTTGCTTGCTTTAGCATACTGCTATTTGTACAGCCCCAATGTTCTGTCTAGAGCCTTGTTGATTCACCTGTAGATGAGAACCGTGATTTTTACTTCAGCAATAATAAATGCAGTTTCCTGAGTTTATTAAGTTATCATTTATAGCATTGCCTGCTGGAAAGTCCAGCAATCCAAATCCCATTTTTTTTAAAAGTCAGAGCTCATCCTTTTGTTGCATTTTATATGGTATCTCAGCTCTGTCAGGTCTCACAATGTAGGTCTTATTAGAATTATGTCTTTGTTGCTCTTTCCTTATAAGTCCTTGGTTCTGTAGATAACCCAGCTGGCAGAAGGCAGGTATTTTCCCATGCAACAAAGGAAACACAAAGCATGAATCTACAAAACAGAAAGAAAGTGAAAACCAAGAGCACATTAATAAAACTTCTTTCACAAAAAAAGTCCAACACAGCAAGACTGAACATTAACAAGAAAGTTGGCCATACATTGATTGAAATTCAGCCGTTTCAGTGGGGACCAGTTGAATTCTGATCAGTGTGTGGCTCTCCCTGCTTGACAGAAGTAAATCCTTTGTGTGGATCTCTTAGTTTTTTTTTTCCTTCAGGCTGTGGTGTATGGCAAGCTTTAAACAGGCAACCACTCTAATGTACAGAGTACAGTATATAGGTGGGACTTAGCAGGTATTGGTAGTGGTAAATCATGCACAAGGCAGGGACACTCGGGGACAGTCCAAGTAGGTCCAACACAGTTTCCATGCAGGAGGGTTTTGCACAGAAAGTCCATAGCAAAAACCAGAGCTTGACAAATTTGCTTAGAATGTAGGAGCCAGCTAAAACAGGAGCCAGTTTTTTAGCGTAACGTGGGTTGCCAGCGCCCAGGACTTCACGCGATACGACTTGCCACATGATAATCACAGCAAATCCACACCATGCTTTAGTCACCATCGAAAATAACAGCACCTGAACCTGCAGATTGCGATCACAGTAATTTTGCTACGATCCCAAAATGCCCAGGTGTGAATGGAGCCGCTCTGGTTCACACATATGCGATTCTGGTTTCATTTTGAAACTCACAGATTCACATGACAATCTAGATATTTTGTGTTCCTATTGAGGTGGCTCACACAGATGCAATCCACATGCATTGTATTTTGAGTGCAATAATGAAAATGATCGTATGTGAGTTTGTAGCAGTGCATTCCAGAGTCGTAAGAGAGAGTAGAGTGGCATGTGGAGATAAGTGTTCACATGGGATTGCTATTGATAGGAGTTTTTGCACTGAAGTCTATGGGAGGCATTCTCACACTGAAGTCTATGGGAGGCGTTTTCGCACCGAGGTCTATGGGAGGCGTTTTCGCACCGAGGTCTATGGGAGGCGTTTTCCCACCGAGGTCTATGAGAGGCGTTTTCCCACCGAGGTCTATGGGAGGCGTTTTCACACCGAGGTCTATGGGAGGCGTTTTCACACCGAGGTCTATGGGAGGCGTTTTCCCACCGAGGTCTATGGGAGGCGTTTTCCCACCGAGGTCTATGGGAGGCGTTTTCCCACCGAGGTCTATGGGAGGCGTTTTCCCACCGAAGTCTATGGGAGGCGTTTTCCCACTGAAGTCTATGGGAGGCGATTTTTCCATTGAAGTCTATGGAGCGCAACTTCCCATTGAGGTAAATGGGGAGCGACTTCCCACTGACATCTATGGGGCGCAACTTCCAGTTGAAGTCTATGGGGTGCAACTTCCCATACAAGTCTATGGGGCGTGACTTCCCACTGAAGTCAATGGGAAGCAGTGTGTGAACCCAGGTGCCAGGAGGAAATTTCTAGTCACAATGGCGACCTGGCACCTGAGATTAAACCAAAAGAAAACATCTCCCTGTCCAAACCACAAACTAAACTCAGCTAAGAGGGAGCCCTCTAATGGGTTCCTCAAAACAAGCAGGCAACTCTTAGAATTTTTTTTTCAGTATAATGCAAATATCAGTCACTCCCCTTACACCAGGGAACTAGGTGTCATCCTAGACTCTGACGTGTCCTTTTAACCCCAAATCCAATTGCTGTCAAAAGCTTGTAGACTTCACCTCCGTAACATCTCTAAAATTCTCCCCTTTTTAACTAATGAAACCAACAAGCTATGCATTCACTCCCTTGTTATCTCTCGCCCTGACTATTGCAACTCCCTTCTCCCCTCTCATAGGCCTACCTCTCCATAAGTTATCCCCTCTTCAGTCTGTCATGAATGCTGCTGCCAGAATCCTCTACCTCACCAACCTCTCAGTGTCTGCCACCCCTCTCTGCCAATCACTCCACTGGCTTCCGATTGTCCAATCAATTAAATTTAAAATACTAATAACAGCATACAAAGCCATTCACAATTCTGCCCCGAGATATAGCAACAATCTTGTCTCCAGATATCACTCAAACCATCCTCTCCACTCCTCTCAAGACCTCCTGCTCTCAAGCTCCCTTGTCTCCTCCTCCCATGCTTGTCTCCAAAACTTCTCCAGAGCCTCTCCCATCCTCTGGAACTTTCTACCTCAATCTGTCTGGCTGTCTCCTACTCTGGCTGCCTTAAGGTGATCCCTACAACTAAACTTTTACCAATTCACAAAAGGCATGGCAGGATGTGGAGCCGAAAGACCGCCAGCCTGAGAAGATCCCACTGTCCTGCTCTATCCTGACCAGCTGTGGGGCTGAGTAGCCATTTCACTGATCATGAACCCTGCTAAGCTTTCAGCTTCATACCAGGATACTGCTGCCGGAAAGAAGCAGACATATCCCCAGGCTGCTGGGGCAGGCACCATCTTGGCCAGAAAGCTCCGTGCTGTGCCTCTCCCTTCACAGGGAGACAATGACAACACTAGCCTCATTCTTGGGGCTATAGAGCAATGCAAAACCTCTCTCTTGGTCAGAATTGATCGATTGGCCAAAGAGTTTAATCTGATGAGATTGCACTCTCCGGCCAGGAATGACCTGGGTAAGATTAGAAGCCACCTCTCTGACACAGAAGATCAGATCTCCACCATGGAAGATATCACGGCCCAACACACTGATCTCCCTTAAATCTCTGCAGAGCACAGTGAAAAATTTGGTTGCCTATTAGATTGTAAGCTCTTATGAGTAGGGCCCTCTTAACCCTCTTGTATTTTATTGTATTGTAAATGTATGGTCTCCTTTTATATAGTAAAGCACTGTGCAAACTGTTGGTGCCATATAAATCCTGTAAAATATTAATAATAATGATAGCATTCTGTCAGCAGTAGCATTTTTACCCAACAACAGGTTCTCACAGCAGGGAAAGAGAGAGCTTTGAGCATCAGTCAGCTCACTGATAAAAATGCACGAGAACTAATAACGAGGTCTGGCAAACAGGTCAAATGTGGATGGAGAATTTATCTCACTGAAAGCTTTACAAAACCTCTGGACTCCAGGACTCAGTCTAGAACATATTAAGATCCTGGGGAAACAAAGAGTTTGTTTTTTCCATACCAGATACAAACCCTGGAGCCCCCCACTGAGTGTAGGCAAGAAACCTGGGTGATGCATATACACCATCCACAATTTTGCCAAGGCCTCATAATATATATACATTTTGGTAAAATGATTTCTGGCTTCTGAGTGATGTACAATTTAATGGTGTACATTACTGAGCAATTAGCTGCTGGTTATTTGGTAAAGTATGCCTTCTCATAAAAAAAAAAAATAACGGTGGGGAAATAATTCAAACTGATAATAGACTATGAAGAAAGAAAAAGGCGGAAGAATATCAGCAAAACATAAACTTGGGAATGGGGAGGGGTGGGGGCTAGAGGAGCCACAATGGCAGTTGGTTCTGGGTCACGGGGCAAAAAAGGGGCAATGAAAAAGCTAAGCATGGCATGAACTGGAGGGGAGGAAGAAGCAACAGCTGATCATGGCACCCTGTGAGGGAACAGTACGACTTGAATGGGAGGAAAGAAAACAGTAGCAGATTGATCAAATACCAAAAGAGCTTGTAAAACAGCTTATTTTGCCAAATGCTAACCAGCAACGGTGCATTTTGCCCAACAACAGACTGATCAACAGGCAAACTGCTGAATCACAGATGGAACATGTGACTGAGGCCCCACAGGTATCCTTAAAGAAACAACAGCAAGTGTACCTGTCTCTAGAGCAGCAGATTATTACATTATATTATCATACAGGATTTATATAGTGCCAACAGTTTGCGCAGCGCTTTAAAAAATGAAGGTAGATATTACTGTTACAATACAATTTGGTACAAGAGGAAACAGAGGGCCCTGCTCGTTAGAGCTTACAATCTAGGAGGAAGGGTATAGGCCCTGTCAGAGAGGTTGATGGTGACATAGGGGATGACTCTTCAACAGCTGGTTTAAAGCACATTATAGAATTTGATCATTGCGTAAATAATCTCTGATGTTGAAGCCTATCTCAGCATCTTTTGAGACAGTTGCTGAATGGCAGAAGTTGCCTGAGGAGCAGTGGGTAGATGTGCTAGCACCGTTTTTTTACCAGGAGAGCCGAAAAAAAAGGCCTATTTGAGGTTGCAACCTTAGGATGCCAAGGAGTATCCTAAGCTCAAAGAAGAGATTCTAGCCAGGTATGGGATTACCATGGCCATCCAAGTGTAGCGAGTGTTCTCATGGGAATATGAGGTCACAAGGTCCAGATGTATAATTTGTTTCACCTTACAAACAAGAGGTTCTAGCTAGGCGTTCTCAACCTTGCTCAGATTGTTTAGCAAATGGTGTACAACCATTATGTCAGAGCCTTGCCAGATAACATACAGCAGCACATTAGGCACACACACCTCAAGAGTGTGGACAAGTTTGTGTCCCTTGTGGAGCCACATATTGTTGTCAAGGTAAGGTCCCTGAAAACAGGAAAAAAATTACCTTGGGAAAGCCTTGTCACCTTTGTCCCTGCCATTCTACTATACCCTGCAAATCTTGGCTCATACTGAATAGGAGTACTCAGTTTACATAGAAATGCTAAAGACTATCCTTCTGTGGTGTTGTTAGAGGAGACACCTAGAGGAACTGTAAATTATGTCATGGGTGTGGCTAAGAACTCAATACTGGACTGTGATTTTCCTATGTTTTGCGAACTATGGGAAAATCGCAGGTAACCAGTTCTGATTGTGTTTCTGAAGTAAATGTCAGAGGTACCTGACAATTTCACACTAGCAATCATGGTTGGGGAGTCAAAGGAAACAAATTTAGTGTCAGAATTACCAGTGGCCATTCAAGATTTTGGGACCGTACAGTTGCATGATCCAAATTTAGCAAATGCATGTAAAAATGATAGGGTACAAGAAAAAACAGATGGTAAGTCCTGGTATACACCTTTTTTCAGTGTCCCATAACTTACTGTATTGTGTAAAGAAAGAATGGGAGCAAATTGTGGATCAACTTGTGGTTCCCCAATCTCACATGAAGATGGTGCTGGATCTGACCCATTCTTATGTCATGGTGGTCATTTATTGGGAGAAATAAAGTAAGTATTCCTAAGGAAATTTTGATGGATCAAGGAACCCCTCTCAAGTTAACTAAAGAGCTACATTGCCTGGTAAAAATTTTCAGAGTACCACCCCCAAGAACCCTAAAAAACACATTGCGCAGACCCAAGATAGGATAGCAACAATAACTCCTATAATTTGACAACACATGCTGCATGTCTATAAGGCACAGACCAGAATTTATAACCGCTCTTCTAAATTCAAAAACCTAATGCTAGGTTCAAACTCCAGCAGTCTCTGAAAAGCAATCATCAGTGAACAGCTTTTCAAAGGGCGGTATAACAGTGGGTTCTAGGTGCTGCTGTTTTTTTTATTTTTTTGCTAAAATGTGATTGCATTGAACTAATGTGCTGCAACTGATAACCAAGCTTTTGGCTCATGGCTGTAGCACAGCCTAAACAACTTTGATGGATGAGTTTGGCAGGTGGTGCAGACTGTCCACTTCACAAACCAGCTTAAATTTGCTTGGCTGTGGCATGTGTTTGAGGCCCTTACCTTGCCAGGCTTTTGGTGGGTGGATGAAATGCAATTGAATTGCATTCCCCTTTGTGACATTTCCATAACGTTTGCACCGCTGTCATCAAGTGTCACACCAGCGGCAATGTTCTAACACAGCCCTTGGTGTGAATGGACCCTAAAGCTTACCATACATGATACAGTCTGATTGTACAACATAAATATTATCAGCATAACTCTACTGCTATCTTTTAATAAGAAGCAAACCTTTTGTTTTTTTAATTTGTGATGGAAGTGATGATGAGTAAATACTTTCTTTTTATTAAAGAAGGCAAAACTGTACTAAACAGAAACACAGAAAATTCTCAAGAATTCTGAGACATTGCATCTTGCATTTCTTATACAAACCTGCATAGAAAGCTCTGAGGTCTGTTTGTAGGCAGTTTTCTAGAAAACGACGAAGTGGCAGCAGATGAGCACTAGGTGCAGTCCAGTCCGTAAGGAAATCCTCCACCACATGATGAATCTTTTCAGGACGTGGCAAAGACCACTTTTCTGGACGTGCCTCCATTTGCTCCTCTGCCATGTGAAAGAGAAGAAGGAATATGTCACAAACCAATAAAATAGGATAATATACACATGATTACCATGAACATACCTACAAGAATACTTAATTCAACACTGTAGTCTCAGAGATATCAATTTATCCTGTTATTTTAAGATTGGTCATGTCTTAGGCCCCATTCGTGCACATGTAATATAATGCATACCGTATTTCAAATGGAAACACCAAAGTAAAAAAAAAGTGTTTTCAATGCTGCCTGCTCAGACTCCTGCATTGTATTGCAGTGCTATTGAAAAAAAAAAAGGTTTGAGTATTTTTTGATACATGAACATGAGTTAAGGTATGTACATGTCACAAATGTGTTTCGAGGTTCAAGTAGCAAAGGGACAGATTCAATGTATGTGTAAAATCAGTGTTTTGCCATGCATTTCACACCTAGGCCTTCAGTGGTGTCCTACCTGAATTAAAGTGGTTGTAAAGGCTGAAGGTTTTTTACCTTCATGCATTCTATGCATGAAGGTAAAAAACCTTCTCTGTGCAGCAGTCCTCCCCCAATACTTACCTGATATATACTTACCCAATACTTGCTCCATTACAATGTGCACAAGAGCCTCAACTCTCTGGGAACTCTCCCTCCTCACTGGCTGAGAGCAGATACTTACTGACAGGAAGACTCAATGAACTACTAGTAGTTCATTGACAACTTTGAGCCGATAGCTGCAAAAGCTGTTGGAACACTGTGAATGAGTGACGCGGATAGGCAGGTGGAGCCTCGCACGGCCATGTTTTTTAAAATTGTAACAGCTAGTGGGAAGGAGAAGGTCCCTTGCTAGCTGTCACAACGGGGATCGGGGGTGTGGGGACAGGTCCGATCATAACATGTCACACCCTGAATATGAGTGTGACATGTTACGAAAAGGTAAACATCCTTTAAGTGGAACTGCAGCCATACTTTTCTTTTCTTGAAAGCAGATCGTCACCCTCTGCAGCATGATCCTTCCTTTCCACCTCTTCTCTGGTCCTGAGTATGGATAGTAGTCTTTTTACCTTTTTTTTTTAACAAAGTGTTTTGCCAGCCTCCCTTTCCCTTAAACGTCAACTAAGCCAGTGATCTCCATACTGTGGCCTGGGGTCCAGGTGCAGTCCTTTGCTTGTCTTTATCCAGCTCGTGGGGCAATATTCCTCCCACTGATCCCTAAGTTGGGGCACCATTCCTCCCAATGACACTAACAATAGGGTACTATTTCTCTCACTGATACAGCAATTTTCTACTCCCACCAGCCACAGTCTGGCTACCTAAAGCCTGAAGGACAGTAAAACTGGCCCTTTGTTTAGAAAGTTGGGAGACCCCTGAACTAGGTAAATGACGTGCACTGTTCTCCCTTTGCCTCTTGGGATAGGCATGTCACATATCTGAGGAGGGAAAGCCTTCAATTCAGTTAAAATGGAGGGGTTAAGCCTAGCATGGTGTCATCAAAAGGCATGTCAGCTGAACCTGGAACAGCTGGAAGCCTCTGGATGATGTCACGACAAAGCATGTTGGCACAGGGATGCAATTATTTGCTGGGACCACCACCCTTTGTAATTGTTTTGTATGCACTGCATGCCTTCAGAGATATTAAACATAAAATTAAGTCTGTTTTTGACTGCTTTGAAGTATGCTCTAAGGCAGGGTTGTCAAACTTCAAGCATCATGGTTGCCCTCAAAGGGCCGGCTGTATCAAGAGCCCCCCCCATCCTCCCTTGTATCACAGTGCACCCCCCTTACCTTGTGCTGCTTCCAGGAAGGAGGGGTGGAGCTGGGAAGCAGAAAGTACAAGGTCTAGAGGAGGTCTGGAGGAGGGATGTTGTCAGCTTATGAATTCTGCTGAAAGCTGAGACCAGGGAGGTGGAGACAAGGGGGTGCTGCAGCTGTACACAGAGGTGCAGGATCTGTAGGAAGAGTTCTGTCCTCCTCCATGCTGCTGACTGCTGGGGTAGGGGGGGCACAGCTGCAGGAAATGTGAGGGCCCCATGATATGGCCTGGAGGGCCGAATCAGGCCCGCGGGCCTTGTGTTTGACACATGTGCTTTAAGGTATGAACAAATCCAGAAACGGTGAGCCTGCTCTTGTATTAATTGCACAGAATTAGTGGCTGATTAAGGTGGTAATTTAACTCACTTAGTTCCTTATCTGCATTAAATTAGCCATAGAACCTGTGTAATTAATATGTGTTCGGTTTTAGAGGGATGAGGTGGCAACCCTAACTCAATCCCACTGAGTATGTTCTGAGAAAGCCTATATACAGTCAGGTCCATAAATATTGGGACATTGACACAATTCTAACATTTTTGGCTCTATACATCACCACAATGGATTTGAAATGAAACGAACAAGATGTTCTTTAACTGCAGACTGTCAGTTTTAATTTGAGGGTATTTACATCCAAATCAGGTGAACGGTGTAGGAATTACAACAGTTTGCATATGTACCTCCCACTTGTTAAGGGACCAAAAGTAATGGGACAATTGGCTTCTCAGCTGTTCCATGGCCAGGTGTGTGTTATTCCCTCATTATCCCAATTACAATGAGCAGATAAAAGGTCCAGAGTTCATTTCAAGTGTGCTATTTGCATTTGGAATCTGTTGCTGTCAACTCTCAAGTTGAGATCCAAAGAGCTGTCACTATCAGTGAAGCAAGCCATCATTAGGCTGAAAAAACAAAACAAACCAATCAGAGAGATAGCAAAAACATTAGGCAAAACAACTGTTTGGAACATTCTTAAAAAGAAGGAACGCACCGGTGAGCTGAGCAACACCAAAAGACCCGGAAGACCACGGAAAACAACTGTGGTGGATAACCGAAGAATCCTTTCCTTGGTGAAGAAAACACCCTTCACAACAGTTGGCCAGATCAAGAACACTCTCCAGGAGGTAGGTGTATGTGTGTCAAAGTCAACAATCAAGAGAAGACTTCACCAGAGTGAATACAGAGGGTTCACCACAAGATGTAAACCATTGGTGAGCCTCAAAAACAGGAAGGCCAGATTAGAGTTTGCCAAACGACATCTAAAAAAGCCTCCACAGTTCTGGAACAACATCCTATGGACAGATGAGACCAAGATCAACTTGTACCAGAGTGATGGGAAGAGAAGAGTATGGAGAAGGAAAGGAACTGCTCATGATCCTAAGCATACTACCTCATCAGTGAAGCATGGTGGTGGTAGTGTCATGGTGTGGGCATGTATGGCTGCCAATGGAACTGGTTCTCTTGTATTTATTGATGATGTGACTGCTGACAAAAGCAGCAGGATGAATTCTGTGTACAGCTGCAGCAGCACCCCTTGTCTCCACCTCCCTGGTCTCAGCTTTCAGCAGAATTCATAAGCTGACAACATCCCTCCTCCAGACCTCCTCTAGACCTCGTACTTTCTGCTTCCCAGCTCCACCCCTCCTTCCTGGAAGCAGCACGGGCAATATTATCTGCTCATATTCAGCCAAATGCTTCAGAACTCATTGGACGCCGCTTCACAGTGCAGATGGACAATGACCCAAAGCATACTGCAAAAGCAACCAAAGAGTTTTTTTAAGGGAAAGAAGTGGAATGTTATGCAATGGCCAAGTCAATCACCTGACTTGAATCCGATTGAGCATGCATTTCACTTGCTGAAGACAAAACTGAAGGGAAAATGCCCCAAGAACAAGCAGGAACCGAAGACAGTTGCAGTAGAGGCCTGGCAGAGCATCACCAGGAATGAAACCCAGCGTCTGGTGATGTCTATGTGTTCCAGACTTCAGGCTGTAATTGACTGCAAAGGATTTGCAACCAAGTATTAAAAATTGAAAGTTTGATTTATGATTATTATTCTGTCCCATTACTTTTGGTCCCTTAACAAGTGGGAGATACATATGCAAACTGTTGTAATTCCTACACCGTTCACCTGATTTGGATGTAAACACCCTCAAATTAAAGCTGACAGTCTGCAGTTAAAGCACATCTTGTTTGTTTCATTTCAAATCCATTGTGGTGGTGTATAAAGCCAAAAATGTTAGAATTGTGTTGATGTCCCAATATTTATGGACCTGACTGTAGTAGTATGTTAAAAAACAGAGTTTACTGACCGGAAACATCAGCAGTAGCTCTCCTACTTCTATCTCTATGCATATCAGGTATTTTACTTTCTCCAACAAGGCAGCAGCGGGGGAGTGAAGGGAAGGAAAGTAAATTCACTTTAAAGCTCTAGAGTATTTCAGACCTCATGCTGTGAAAACAGCAAAAAAAGTGCACACCTTTGTGCAGAAATTACATCATATCCTCACCTTTTAAGATAACAGAAGCTAAATAAACTTTTCCTATCATAAAAGCAATGTCAAAGCTCTCATTACCTGTTGGCAATTGTTTGTAATAATAAATCACAGGATGAAGAAAGTTGGAATGCCATGCTGCCTTCGCATCTCCAATAGCACGATTATAATGAAAGACATCCTTGTCTGGTCCTGAAAAATTCTTTCCATATTCCATAATAAGGACAAAAAAAACCTGTGCTGTATACATTCCTGCCAGTGCTTTTCTCTAACATGGGAAGAATGCCTACTGGCACTTCCTCTAAATATTCAAATGTGTTAGCGTCCCTGGAAATGAAAAGAAAAAAATTATGATTGTTTGCATGCAGTTACCATACAAAGGACACATATATAAAAATAGATTTTTGTGATCACACTAAAATCCTTTTCTCAAAGTCAATTTAGAGGTATGGGATTCTATTCAGGAACCATGGGTTACCTTGCTGGCTTTGACACTAGGCACAAAAAATTGAGGGCCAGCCCCTATGTACCATACCCCCTTCAATACCAAGTATGCCTCAGTTGTAGCAAGCAGTATCAAACATCGCAATGTCCACACCTAGAGGGGAGGAATCTCTGTCCCTCCATAGGCTCAGAGAAAAGGATTTTACAGTGAGTAACATAAATAATATATAGGTGCTGCGCAGCATTTGGCTTAGACAAGCGGTAGTAGAAGCAGCGAGCAGAGTGGTACCCTGGGACGGAGCAGCGCTGATCCCTGAGCTAGCCCACCCGATCCACCGCAATATCCAGAGGAGGGAGTTCCTGTCTCACAGGCTTCTACACCCACCCATCCCTTAAAGGGGACCTCTGGCTGACTGGATCCTTTACCACCTGGGAGCTTCTGAGGCACCACAATTATCCAGAGGGAGGATTATCTTTGACCTGGCTCATACCCGATCCTGAAGGGGACCTCCACTGATTGATTTAATGCATATTTACATTACGCATCTGGTGAGTGCGTATTCTTACCCCACTACTCTGGAGCACCAGCACTGAAGTTTTTGCTGCTATTTCAACTATACCTGCACAGATTGTTACTTATGGACGTAGACCGTTTTAGTTGACATTTAATTTATTTTATTTTAAGTGGACTATTTCATACATTACTTTTACCACTGCACTTTTTTATTTGAATTTTTACTGAGGGTTTTTTATTGGTTACCTTTAGTGCTACAACTGCTGCCTAGAGAGTGCTCGCTTTTCTTTTTCTTTATTATTAAGGTTACAATACCAGGTGACAGGAACTTTTAACAACCAATCAAATTCCATTGTGTTCTGACAGACCTTACCATAGTGAATTCTGATGGATGTTTTTATGGAATACAGATGCTTTAGTTTAATTACTGCAACATTAGTGTGTTGGATGTGATGTTTTGATAGCAGGAGATATATGCTGTTTGAGATCATTCTCCTTTGTTTCTTCTAATGTCTGGTGCTAAGTGGGGGTTCTCTTTTTCTGCATTCTCAACAGTGCTACCTCCTGATCCAAATCCCAAGGTTCTCAATCAGATTTTTACTGTGATCCTTACCATAAAAAATGCAACCTGCAGTCAACTTTAATCATACATTCATTAAAACATTGTCTTACTCTCCAAGAAGAATGAAGTCAGCTAAGATTTCAAACATCTGGTAAATACCCGATCCTTCATTCATACGTTTGACCAGTAAATTCAGGAGCTGGGAGATGGGGTAAAGAGTTGCTGGCCATGGGATATTATGGTAACGTTTTTCAGTCAATCGATGGACAGATCGAGCTGGAAAAAGAACACGTTTTCATTTCAGTGGTACTATGCTTAGACGTTTATGCCCAAGTATGGGACTAGGACTTTGTTATTCAGGAATGAGGAATCCTGCAATATATGCCCATTTAAATGAATAGACTTTTAGGACCCTGTGAAAGCAATGATGTCTCAAAGAACCTTTTAGTAAGTGTGCTGGGTATTATTATTATACAGGATTTATATAGCGCCAACAGTTTGCGCAGTGCTTTACAAAATGGTGTCAACAAATGTAGAGGGGGTTGAGTAGTGCAGCGTTGTGTGTGTCTATGAAGCAAGCCCAAATTTGTGCCTCCATAGCAAGCGGCTCCATACATAAGAGGAGCGGAGATTGCTGATGGGGGACCACAGAAGAGTAGGTAAGTGGTCGCAGGTAAGTCTAAACCTTTTTTTATTGTAATTAAAAAAAAAGATAAAGGTTTTCAATCAACTCATCTTTTAGGCCCTGTTTACATCTGGCATTTTGGGATCTGTATATTCAAATAGCACTGCAATAGTGGCAATTTTCAGCACGTGTGCTCAGGTGCCATTTGTTTTCAAGGGCACCTAAATGTGGTGCAGTTCTACTGTGATTGAAAACAAATGGCACCCTGAACACACGTGGTGCATTTTGCCACTATTGCAGTACAATTTGAGATTGCAGGCAAAATTGTAGCAATTCTGCCTGAGATCCCAAAATGCCAGATGTGAACGGGGCACCAGTGAATTAACCTGCAGTGAATGTTTGCTGAATGTCACATTCACTGCTTTATAAATATACCTTTATATATTTTGACTGAACAAAGCAGTAAAAGAAACAACAAAAAGCCAATTTTCTCACCGGTATAGCGAAAACCATGGATGAATCCACCGGCTGATTTGCGAAAGTCAATGCCATGGCTGGCAGCACCCACCACAAACAAACCTTGAGTATGTTTTCGCTTCATAGTTCACATTTACCAAGGGATATTTTTTCTTTAGGCCAAAACCAGGCTTCAGTTTAATAGACCTAAAAAAAACAAGATACATTTTATAACAAACCTAAGCTGACAAAAATCTATATTGTAAAGCATAAAAACAGATATACTAATAATTGGGAGCAACATAACATGTATCAAATTGTATAACATGTATCAAACATGTATAACATGTATCAAAATGTATCAAAAACAAGGTACATTTTAAAACAAACCTAAGCTGACAAAAATCTATATTGTAATGCATAAAAACAGATATACTAATAATTGGGAGCAACATAACATGTATCAAATTGTTCAATCAAACATGTATCAAATATGATTCTGGCTTCAAGTAACATAACAGACACTATCTGCATGGAGTATGTATGTTCTCTTCATGTAAAAGCTCTCTTAATGGCAGAGAATGTGAAGAGTATGGCAGTATGTAAGTCTGTATGGTTTGTAAAGTGCTAGAGAATGTGTTTACATTATATAAATGAATAGCACAAATAAAATCTGACAAAATATGTCATTAAGCAAGTGAGCTTTTCTACGTCTTGACATTTAAACAGTTTTTTTGAAATGCCAATTTTTTTCCTTTCTCATTTCCAATGTTATATTATAAACCACCTGTAATGAAATGCACTAAAAAGCTTGTATGGAGGCTGATGAAGCCTGCCAATACACATTAGAGGACATTCAGATGTGTTGGCAAAATCCAAATGCAATCTTTAGAGCAGTGTTTTTCTCAACCTCTTTCCAGTCAGGGCTCTGCTCTTTAAGGGTAGCATTAATTCTTAGTGGTACCCCATACATCATATTTTGGTGTGGTGCAATTTTTAAAAAAAAGGCCAGGTTAGAGTTTGCCAAACGACATCTAAAAAAAGCCTTCACAGTTCTGGAACAACATCCTAAGGACAGATGAGACCAAGATCAACTTGTACCAGAGTGATGGGAAGAGAAGAGTATGGAGAAGGAAAGGAACTGCTCATGATCATATCACCTCATCAGTGAAGTATGGTGGTGGTAGTGTCATGGCGTGGGCATGTATGGCTGCCAATGGAACTGGTTCTCTTGTATTTATTGATGATGTGACTGCTGACAAAAGCAGCAGGATGAATTCTGAAGTGTTTCGGGAAATATTATCTGGTCATATTCAGCCAAATGCTTCAGAACTCATTGGACGCCGCTTCACAGTGCAGATGAACAATGACCCAAAGCATACTGCAAAAGCAACCAAAGAGTTTTTTGAGGGAAAGAAGTGGAATGTTATGCAATGGCCAAGTCAATCACCTGACCTGAATACGATTGAGCATGCATTTCACTTGCTGAAGACAAAATTGAAGGGAAAATGCCCCAAGAACAAGGAGGAACTGAAGACAGTTGCAGTAGAGGCCTGGCAGAGCATCACCAGGGATGAAACCCAGTGTCTGGTGATGTCTATTTGTTCCAGACTTTAGGCTGTAATTGACTGCAAAGGATTTGCAACCAAGTATTAAAAAGTGAAAGTTTGATTTATGATTATTATTCTGTCCCATTACTTTTGGTCCCTTAACAAGTGGGAGGCACATATGCAAACTGTTGTAATTCCTACAGCGTTCACCTGATTTGGATGTAAATACCCTCAAATTAAAGCTGGCAGTCTGCAGGTAAAGCATATCTTGTTCGTTTCATTTCAAATCCATTGTGGTGGTGTATAGAGCCAAAAATATTAGAATTGTGTCGATGTCCCAATATTTATGGACCTGACTGTACATGCCTTTGAAGGTACCATCACCTGCACACCCTTCCAAGGAAACTGAACATATGCCCATGGGAGTGTACAACCACAGGAACATAAGCTGAAGTGTGCACATAAATGTGTACACCAGGGCCCACCCTTTACTTATTTTGACTAACCTTTTAAGGTATACCCATGGTCCTTGAAAACTTGCTCTATCAAATCAAGAGAAAAAAATGTTTAAAAGACTAAGGCTGGTCATACATTAAGCTATTTTATTGTCTTCATCCACAGATTTAAAGAAAGAAAATCACTTGATTCGCTCACCAACACATTCAGTGTTGTTGTCAGTGAATCCCTCTCGCTGCACTATTGTATTTTGACACCTGGAGGTTTCCATGCTGTCAGAATACAATGATTAATGCTGGTGGCTTTAACTCGACAGGTTAGTTGTTCTGAAGTTGATCGATAAATGTTAATAATATATAATAAATAATTAAAAAATATTTTTAAAAATTGAAAAAAAAAAATGATGTACAATCAGTATCCCGGATCACCATCATGCCAGTCATATATTAACGCTATACTGCACTGGTGCTACAAAAAAAACAAATGTAAAAAAGGGGTCATTTGAGGGGGCCATATGTACTGTTTTGGCATTTTAGGGACTCAAGAAATGAGACAGGCTGTCAAATATATATATCCCATAGTTTGTAGACTCTCCTACAGACTTAATAATACACTTTTGGGTTATTTTTGGGTTGGATTTGGGTTATTTTTAACAAAGAATATTTTCTGGCTCACATTTATGAAGAAAGACTATTTGTTTGCAAAATTTTATAACAGAAAACTAAGAAAAAAAACTTGTTTTTTTCATTTATATAGCAAAAAATAAAAACTCATTGGTGGTTATATATCATCTATTTGTGTGAAAAAAAATATAAAAATTTAATTTAGGTACAGTGTTGTATGACTGAACAATTACCAGTTAAAGTAGCACAGTACTAAATAGCATAAAATGCCCTGGTCATGAAGGGGGTAAAATCTTTCGGAGGTAAAGTGGTTAAATAACTTCACGTGCCAGTTCATAACTGTGTGTTTTAAACGTGAATTTCATGTAAGAAAATAAAATGGCATATAAAATTGGCACACAAGCCGTTTTGTAATTTACTGTTAAGAATGCCTGCACTTTCTAACTAGTGAAGAGTGTGTGTATGATATATTTATATATGTTTTTCATATCCTGCTCTGTATCAATAAAGAGAAGAAAGAATTCTTCATTACTTATCAAAGATTGAGAAATCAAATTTCCATCCCAAACAACGAATGACACGGTCATATGGTTCGCGAGCTGCAAAATTATCTAGATCATCCTTTGGAAGCATGGAGGATGGATTAATTGTGTTGTTATTTGTAGAGTTATTATAATTTTTTAGATAATGCTTGTGGGTGACAAAAAGTTTTCCAGACCCATCGTGGACCAGTGCCAGGTCAGATATATCGCCTTCTAAAAGCCCGTCCAAGGACTTCAACTGGTACGTGTCCAAAAGTCCATTGTTAATGGCTCTGCAGAAAGAAGGATTGCATCAGTTTTTTGGAAGGTACTGTTATCCATGACTGCCATAACAATTTTTCAGTAATTTCTGTATATTATTACACACTGAAAATTAGTGAAAATGTTCACTACTTAAAGGGGGACTGCACTGTATCTGACCACTACAAACCAAAAGAGCTATTTAATTCATTTTTAATATTCAAAGCAAACTCCATCCATGTCTCCATGTTTTATTTTGCTGAGAAATAACTTAGAAAAACACCCCCTAGCATTGCTGGCTGTGGCCATTTTGAATGAGAGCAGATGATTCTTGTAGCATTTACTTCCTGGAATCTTTCTGCCATTAGCTCAGGCATGCAGGCAAGAGGGTGAGCTTAGCTGAGGAAACCCCTCCTCCCCTCCTGAAGACTCCAGTGCTGTATGAAATCATTTGCCTAGTCATGGAAACCAGGAAGTAACTGAAGAAATGTAAAAAATCAATATTTAAAACAAGTAAATATAATATATTCTCCTATCCATTTACTAATGCTAGTAGCAAACGGATTACAAATAGCCAATGCTGAATGAGAGAGTGACATTTCATTTTAATGACAGACTTAATTCACTCACCTTAAATCTCCCACATAGTGTGTAGACCAAGACAAACGAACTCTTGAGCGACCAAGCATATGTATAAAATTGGTATAGCCCAAAATATTGTCAGCTGTTTCAAATGCAGAGTTCCCACGCCCCAGAATAAGAACACTCTGTCCAGTAAAATTGTGAGGGTCTATAGACACAGCCTCATAACCTTCTGTATATTCTGCACCAGGAAAGTTTACCACATTAGGCAAAGATATACCACTGGCCACTAGCAAGACACTGAAACAGGCAAAAAGAAAACAATAAGGCAATAAGTAAAGCACTATACAGTTAATCCACAATGACAAAATCAACAAAACGTAAATTATCCACAAATACATATGAAAACAAGCATATGATTATGCACATCACTTATGTGAACATAGTATATCAGTTTGTACACTGCTCAAAAAAATTAAAGGAATGCTTTTTAATCAGAGTATAGAATCAAGTCAATTAAACTCCTGGGATATTGATCTGGTCAGTTAAGTAGCAGAAGGAGTTGTTAGTCAGTTTCAGCTGCTTTGTTGTTAATGAAATTAACAGGCACACTAGATGCACAACAATGAGACGACCCCCAAAACAGGAATGGTTTTACAGGTGGAGGCCACTAACATTTTTTTTCCCTACTCATCTTTTCTGTTTTTCACTAGTTTTGCATTTGGCTAGGGTCAGTGTCAATATTGGTAGCATGAGGCGATACCTGGACGCTACAGAGGTTGCACAGGCAGTCCAACTCCTCCAGGATCGCACATCAATACGTGCCATTGCCAGGAGGTTTGCTGTGTCTCCCAGCACAGTCTCAAGTGCACGGAGGAGATTCCAGGAGACAGGCAGTTGTTCTAGGAGAGCTGGACAGTGCCGTAGAAGGGTCCTTAAACCATCAGCAGGACCAGTAACTGTTCCTTTGTACAAGGAGGAACAGGATGAGCACTGCCAGAGCCCTACAAAATGACCTCCAGCAGGCCACTGGTGTGAATGTCTCTGACCAAACTATCAGAAACAGACTTTATAAGGGTGGCCAGGGGCCCGACGTCTTCTAGAGGGCTCTGTGCTCACTGCCCGGAACCACAGAGCTCAATTGGTATTTGCCATTGAATATCAGAATTGGCAGGTTTTCACAGATGAGAGCAGGTTCACCCTGAGCACATGTGACAGACGTGAAAGGGTCTGGAGAAGCAATGGAGAACATTATGCTGCCTATAACATAGTTCAGCATGACAGTTTTGGTGGTGGGTCAGTGATGGTCTGGGAAGGCATATCCATGGAGGGACGCACAGACCTCTACAGGCTAGACCAGCAATGGGCAAACTACGGCCCGCGGGCCGTATACGGCCCGGCGGACCTTTTAATCCGGCCCGCGGAGCTAGGCTCCCGCAAGGCCAGTGGTCGTCGGCAAGCCGCGGCTCTTTACAAATTTAGATGCGGCTCTCCTGTGTGCCGGGCGCCCGCTCTCCCTCCCTCCTCTCCTCCTCTCCCCTCCCTCCTCTCCTCCTCTCCCCTCCCTCCTCTCCTCTCGGATGGCCGCCCCCCCTCTCGGATGGCCGCCCCCCTCCCTCCTCTCGGACGTCAGGACTCTGCAGCTGTCAGGATGTAGGCGGGGCAGCGTGACGAACTCCTCTCACAGTCCTCCCTGAAGACCAGAACGGCGCGGGAATACGAGAGGAACGCGCGGACCAAAGGTAAGTGAATTGACACAGGGGGGGGACTTACTATATGGGGGATGAATTACTATATGGGGGACTTACTATATGGGGAATGAATTACTATATGGAGGACTTACTATATGGGGAATGAATTACTATATGGGGGACTTACTATATGGGGAATTAATTACTATATGGAGGACTTACTATATGGGGAATGAATTACTATATGGGGGACTTACTATATGGGGAATGAATTACTATATGGGGGACTTACTATATGGGGAATGAATTACTATATGGGGGACTTACTATATGGGGAATGAATTACTATATGGAGGACTTACTATATGGGGGATGAATTACTATATGGAGGACTTACTATATGGGGAATGAATTACTATATGGAGGACTTACTATATGGGGAATGAATTACTATATGGGGGACTTACTATATGGGGAATGAATTACTATATGGAGGACTTACTATATGGGGAATGAATTACTATATGGGGGACTTACTATATGGGGGATGAATTACTATATGGGGGATGAATTAATATGGGGGATGAATTACTATGTGGGGGATGAATTACTATATGGGGGATGAATTACTATGGGGGATGAATTACTATATGGGGGATGAATTACTATGGGGGATGAATTACTATAGGGGGGATGAATTACTATGGGGGACGAATTACTATATGGGGGACGAATTACTATATGGGGGACGAATTACTATATGGGGGACGAATTACTATATGGGGGATGAATTACTATGGGGGATGAATTACTATATGGGGGATGAATTACTATATGGGGGATTAATTACTATATGGGGGATTAATTACTATGGGGGATTAATTACTATGCTTACTATGGGGGAATATTACTATACTTACTATGGATGACACATACACATCATTCATCTATTCTTGGTCCGGCCCCCGGGTCCAATATATGAACCCATTGCGGCCCTCAAGTCAAAAAGTTTGCCCACCCCTGGGCTAGACAATGGCACCTGACTGCCATTAGGTATCGGGATGAAATCCTTGGATTCATTGTCAGACCCTACACTGCTGCAGTGGGTCCTGGGTTCCTCCTTGTGCATGACAATGCCCGGCCTCATGTGGCGAGAGTATGCAAGCAGCTCCTGGAGGATGAAGGAATTGATGCCATTGAATGGCCCCCATCTCCTGACCTAAATCCAATACAACACTTCTGGGATATCATATTTCGGTCCATCCGATGCCACCCAGGTTGCAACTCAGACTGCCAGGAGCTCAGTGATGCCCTGTTCCAGATCTGGGAGGAAATACCCCAGGACACCATCCGTTGTCTCATTAGGAGCATGCCCCGATGTTGTCAGACATGCATACAAGCACATGGGGGCCATACAAACTACTGAGTACCATTTTAAGTTGCTGCAATGAAATTTAGCAAAATGGACTAGCCTGCCGCATCATTTTTTCACTTTGATATTTAGGGTGTCTTTGAACTCCATATCAGTATAGATATCCAGCATGATATTTTTCCCCATTGAGATCTGATGTGTTTTCAAAGTGTTCAAAGTGTTCCTTTCATTTTTTGAGCAGTATATATATGTGACAGAGGTACTATTGATGAACTGAACATGCCCAGGTTAGGTTTGAGCAGGGTTCAACTAACATTACTAAAATTTGGGTGCCAAATCCAAACCCCAATAAAAGTTAGTTAGAACCAAATGATTAAAAACTGTTCTGACTATTTACTAGCTTAACAGGCAAGGGATTCTCAAACAAAAAGCACGGGGAACGTGTACCAAAAAAAAAAAAATTCAATTTTGTTTGGCTGGGAACAATGATTTTTGTAATGCTTACTAAGAAACATTAAAAATTTAAAACTCCATTAAATAACATGCCCGGGGGGTGAGCATCTGTGTGATGTATAAAACATATTGCTTTTAATAAAACAAAGCACTGATCCAGGTTAGTCCATGATAAGCCTGCCCCACACAGTCCAGGTACTGGTCCAGCTCACCACTTCAACACAATAACACCACTTTAACTGATCCACACACTGGTAAAAGCCAACTTCTTTATTCTATCAATATAAAGACTGTAAAACCGCATCCACAGTGCATCAGGAGAAGCACTGGATCATAGCATCACACAAGCATGGCAGCTATGATTAATTGCTTAATGGCATAAAAACGTGTTAGCAGTCTTTCTTCTGTTGTTTACCAGTGTGCGCACATCCACTGGAGTTGTGTTATATAATGTATAAAACCTACTACAGCAACACTGACAAAGAAAAAAAGTATATAAATGACAACTCCCCGCATCTTCATTCTGTTTGTAAACAAAGCAGCCAGGGATGCCATTCATCTATACCAGATTCTTATCTCAATGAAACTAAAAAAAGACATGTTTTATTAATATTACACTGATCAAAGCCTGCATATCTATTAGTATAAACATATTTTAATTCAAATAACTGATATAGCAGAGTTTCACATATAGGAGCTATTTTATCTCAGTAATTTGACATTATAGGCTACATTTGTTTTCACTTACTTGCACTCATGTTCTTGTCTTGTTTGATCCAGAAGTAGAAATCGGTGTCCGTTCCATGCTTCTGGGTTGGTTTCTATCCGGACGTTTTTGATATCTGTTCCATAACGCACATTGATACCAATACTGAAATTTTGTAAATACCTCACCATATCATCCGCATGAGGAAAGAAATCATGTGAATAATGCCCAAAAAGCAATTGTTCATCTTTGCTCAGCAGAGAATTCCAGTCATGACGAAGATTAAATTCTTTGTTCTTCCGACCAGTAAATTGTTTGTTTATGCTGATTAACTTACGGTGCCGTGGAAGATGTAAAAAGAAGCTACCAGGTCTATTGTTCCTTTCAAAGACTACATAGTCCCTTTGAGAATCTTCAAGAAATTTTGCAATCTGAAGCCCTCCAGGACCAGCTCCAAGGACACAGTAATCATAGGAGTGTAGCTTTGAGGACACATATGGAAGGCTTAGAAGAAAAATGATCTGCAAAACCTGCATTCTGCACAATAAAAAATGTAAAGTTAAATTATTTTAATAAAAGGTGGATAGATCTTAAAACATGAATATTATTTACAATGAGGAAACAGCAATTGATAAGCACCACAACAGCTCTTATGTCATGGACTTTCCATACATTAAAGCTTAAGTGCAGTCAAAAAAAAAAAGAAAATCAGTGCAGAAGACAAAGCTTCAGTTAGTAGGATGTGTCCCTTGTGCTGATGCCTCTTCTATTAGTATCCATCCATAGCTCCAGCCATACACTTCCAGTGAGATGGGGGTTAATGGAACTAAAGGGCTGTAACAGGCTCTCTATGAATCATCTATTCTATGAATAAAACAGGATCTTTGAATGGAGGGGGCAGACCTTTCAATCATCTGCTGTCATCCATTCGTAGACCCTGTTTAATTTATAGAAGCTGTAGTACATCTTCTATTCATGGAGCAGCTGGATGGAAAGGGCAGCATAGTTAGACTCTCTTGATGAGCGCCTGTGACAAATTCCACATTTCTAATAACCTCCACTGGACCTGACGATTATGGCAGTGGGTGTGAGGGGGGAATGGATGGAGAAGGATTTCTACTAACAGAAGAGACATCAGCACAAGGGACACATTCTACTGACTGTAAGTTATGTCCCTTGCACTGAATTTTTTTTACTGTACTTAGGCTTTGAAACACACAAAAATATGTAGGTGTACACCCAACCATTATAAAATAAATAATTTTTGTGTTTTTATTATTTAACAGAAAAAAAAAAAACAGCTATTTATCATGTGTTATACTTAAGACATTCGGGATCTGTTTAGTACTGTGTACACTATGCCTGAATCAAAAATGTTGCCATGCAAGTAATATGCATGTTTTTCCATTTTATACATTCAAAGTGGCCAGAATAACAGAAACCACTGTTCAGTTCTGCACTGGATAAACTTTGTATTTGATCACAAATGCCAGAGTTCTTTACACCAACTCTGCAATTTTTTTCTAGTGTTACTGATGACAAAGGTTTCAGCATACAACACAAAAGGGCCGATTCACTATATGCATGCAGGTTGTTTACTTTACAAGGGGATTTTCACTTTGCAGGACAATTTTCCCTTAGCTTAGTAAATGTGATGAAAGTTTACATTGCAAAGAATACCCAATCACATGCAAAGGAAAATAAAACAAAAAGCAGTATTTTTGCTTGCACATGATTGGTTGATAGAAATCATCAGAACTATACCTTATTCACTAACCTAAAGGATAATTCCCTTGCAAAGTGAACAGTCTATTTACCTTTAGTAAATAAACCCCATACTGCCCACAGTTGATGGGTGAATGTACCCTTCAGGTCATTTGAGCTTATCCAAAATGTGCTATGTTACTCTAAATCTGCCTGTGCTGTGCCCACTGCACCCTGTGGCCCGTGTGCAGCTCACCATGCAGTGAAAAGCTCCTAACCACCAATAAACCACACTGTATAAACAAATCTTGAAATTTTATTAGAAGAACATGGTGGATGAAACTGGAAAGAATGTCTTACAATCAGAATACATGTAATGAGATAAATAAAATAAGCTGTTTATGGTTGTAGGTCCAAGCTCACCAGCAATGCTGCCTGACAGGAACACAGGTTGCCCTGCACTAACATGTGCCAAAGATGATGGATGGATTCTGGATTTCCAGGATGCCCCTGTATTCTCCTTCTTGGGGTAGGGGATAATAAGAGGATGGAACCACTGCCAAAACAGTCTTTAGATAGATATTGAGGCGGTTTTGGCAACCGTGTAGAGCTCACAGCAAAAATAGTAGGAACAACAATAAACTCAGAGAAGCCCTATGCTGCCATTAATGCATTTGGAGCTGCGATTCCCTGGACCAGATAACATTTTTCCATGTGTTAACAGTTCAGAGCCGATTTGAAACAAACCCTCATATCCTTTACAGCCAAGGAATCTGCCATCTTAGCTTCAGTTTGACATCTAGTTGTCATGGTGCAGAACTTTTGATTAGTTATGACACCAGTCATTTGATGATCTGACTGGTAAAAGCACAAGCATCTGTAACAGTTATCATACATGCATGCTTACAATGTAACTGTTTTGGGAAACAATTACATTCATGGATTTAGTTTCTCTTTAAGCCCACTGCAAACACTGTTTGCAGGTTGACCTGGCTAGGAAAAATGCAATGGAGTTGATTTACTAAATCAAGAGAGTGCAAAATCTGGTGCAGCTGTGCATGGTAGCCAATCAGTTTCTAACTTCAGCTTGTTCAATTAAGCTTTGACAAAAAGAATATGGAATCTGATTGGTTTCTGTGCAGAGATGCACCAGATCTTGCATGCTTCAGTTTTACTAAATCAATCCCAATGCGTGATTATTTACATCTATATTCTATAAAATCAAGAGTGCAAGAGTGGAAATCAAGTGTGCTCTGATATTTGTCACTGAATCTAATAATTGTGTTGTAATATTAACTGCTCTACTATGGACAGGTAATTTGCTGTAATACCCCAGACACCAGTGGGCTACCATTTTCGCCTCCTAAGGAGATCTCCACACAGTGATATTTTGATTGGGTTTCTAAATCTCTGTTTCATTCATTGTACATTGCTGCCTCCAAGTAACTCAATAGTCTTTGGAGATGATCAAACCTACCCTCTTATCACAAACAAAGCCTTATTCAAAGCTTGTTAAGTCACACTTTAAGACCATGCTCAGTAATATGTTCACATGTTAAGTAACTGCTAAAATGATGTCACTGTTGCATGTGTCTGTATAGATCCACATCTGCAAAGGGAAGGGGAAATGTTTCTTTTCTCCAGCTAAAGAGTATAGAATAGCTTTACAGCTTATAAAGAAACACATATCATTTATATCTAATAATAATATATTTATATATATATATATATATATATATACACACACAAATATATTATATATTCTCCTTTACAATGTACCCTATGACCACATTCCTTAAGTTACTCACCTGCAAAGAAAGACACCTGGAAAGTAACCAGTATAGTGTAGCACAATACATATCACTATGGTCCGAGCTTGTTATCCATAAATACTAGGGAGTTGTCAATTGAATCATGGCAATAAGAAATCCTTTTGCATAAGCCTGATGAAACAAAAAATTTAATCAAAGATAAAGCAATTTTGTCAAATCAAGATCCTTGTGGCTATGTGAGACGTACAGCTGGGAATCCCAGCATGTAAATGTTAATGCCAAGGCAGCTTAGAAATGCACTAAGATGAGTAATTGCATTTAAAATAAACTTAGATATAAAATCTATATATAAAATCGAGCGCAGTGTATAGGTGTAAGTACGGTAGCTGCTTGCACAAAAAGGCACCTCGGGAACCTCCAAAGTAATTGATAAAGAATGAGAGTGCAGCACTAACCCAAATAGCGATTAAACATATGATAGACCACATATGATAGTGGATCAGTAAAATGTCAGTGTAAGTTCATCAGATGTGCTGAAAATGCATACAGTCTCCAATATGTAAAGAACCAAAAGTAGTGACTTTCAGAAATGATAATAGCCAAATAATGCACTAACCAGATAGCGCATATTAAAGCGCATGGAGCATTTAAGACCTGCCCCTGGTGCTCAGCCACTGTATCACTGGAGCCAGGAGATGTCATCTATAGGGTGACCACTAGATGTCATCTATCCGGATGGAAGCTGAGTCCAGCCACTGTATTAAAGGATCAGGCGGATGTCATCTATAGGGCGACCACTAGATGTCATCCATTCCAGGAGGAGCTGTGTCATGGATCCAGGGATGTCACTTGCAGATGTGTCCTTTGCTAAGCACAGCCCCAGGACCTTCAGAATTACAGGCTCCCCTGAAATAAAGAGCCCGTGGAAAAAGGCCTCAAATAATGTGATATCGTTTATTAAAGTAGGTAAATAATCAGAAAAGAACTTACTAACAACGATTCAGCTGCTCATAAACGGCCAGACCAGAGGTACATGTACACGGGATATAAATAGCTTGGCACTTCCCTAACGCGTATCGTGTGAGTACACATCATCAGAGCACTCTCATTCTTTATCGAGTAATTGCATTTGTCTACCATCTTCCTGTTCTGCTAAAAGTATGTGATATATTTCTCTTTTATGTTTCAAGACAAAACTAGACCAGCTGACCATTTTTCACTGTGAGTTGTTTAGGTACTCAGATAGGTACTCATATGAACAGATGTTAGGAGTTACTAAGACAGGTACTGTATGCTGTCTAAAAAGATAACTACATTTAAAGCCTAGGTGTAGTCAAAATAAAAAAAAGCACAAAAATCAGCACAAGGCACATGACTTTCTATAAATGTGATGTGTCCCTTGTGCTGCTAGCTCCTGGTTTCCTTTGAATCTTTCTCGGTCAATAACCCCACCCCCACTCCCACCTCTATAATCTTCAAGTGTGGCAGGGGTTAACAGAACTGAGGGAGCTCTCATTTTAACTCATCAAGAATGTCCAACTATGCCCACCCTTTTTGCCCAGCTCCTCCATTCATAGAAGCCAGTACTACATATCATTTGAATGAAAGATGATCTATGAATGGAGGGAGCAGGTACCCAATCATCCACCTGTCCTCCATTCAAGAATGGTGTTTCATACATTGAAGCTGTAGTACTGACTTCAATGAATGTAGGGGCTGGGCGGAAGGGGCAGGCATAGTCAGGCACTTTTGATGAGTGCACCAGAAGATTGTGGCAGCAGAGTGGGATGGCATTGATGGATGTATTAATAGTATGTTATGTCCCTTGTGCAGGTTTTTGTGCTTTTATTTTGACTACACTTTTTAGGTTTTAAATGCTTGGGATAAAAATGCCACATGACTTCTGCCAGATTCAGGTGAGTAAAAGGGGCATTTAAATATGGTTTTGTTATTATTATTTGCGGCGGGGATTATTTGGGGTTGGGGGAACAAAAGAGTTTAGTTTTTAAGTAACAAAAATTGAAATTAAAGGATTTGTTCACCTTTTGAAACCATATTTA